CCCTGGCCAGTGCTTCAGGCCTCCAAGCTCGCGAGGCTGCGTCCGCCCAGCGGCCACTTCAAACAGCCCCGCCACCGCGGAGAGCCGTCCCGGCAAGCCTTGCGTGCGCTCCGCCTGCGCCAGGACCATAGAGAGGGAGCGGGCTGCATTCCTTCTGAGCTCGGGCTCCAGGCCGGCTGGGAAAAACCGGGCTGGTCTGGCCCGCGGAGGACTCGACTCACTGGTGCGCGGGCTTAGCCCGCAGTCCCGTGCCTCACGTCTGGCTTCTCCGCCAGAGCTGGGAGCTTGGCGGGCTGCGGGCATCCCCAGGTCTGGGTCGCAGTAAATGTTACACGGAATTGCTTCGGGGAGGCGAGGGCCGGAGGTCCCCAGATTTCATCCCTGGGTCCCTGTGGTCTTTGAGATTGCACATCTGGGGTGGGACTGAACCCAGGACTTGCAGCGGGTACAAAGGGGCACGTTTCTATCCATTAACCGTGTGACCCTACTTTGTACATCTTGTGTAACAGGCATAGAGACCCCACCTGCCAGAACTGTGCCATCCGCAGCATGTCTAGCATCACAGATACGGACAAGAGTCTCAGTCAAGTTGCCTCCACTTTGTACGGGCCTCTCCTTATTTTGTGTTTGTTCTGCCACCAAACTAACCTTTACTGATGACTCCAAAATCACCCACTCCCATTCGCGCAGGGCTGCTGGTCTCCACTGAGTGTCCTGAGGTCACGTGGATGAGCCTGCACCAAAGCAGCGCTGCACAAGTTTCCACAGGGCTGCACATTTACCCAAATGAACTCTGGCCTGGTGAGGTGGCTCAGTGGTTGAGCGTGGACTTATGAACCAGGAGGTCATGGTTGGTTCACTCTGGGTCAGGGACCATGCCTGGGTTGCAGACTGGATCCCCAGTGTGGGGTGTGCAATGATTCTCTCTCATCATTGATGTTTCACTCTCTCTTCCTCTCTCCATTCCTCACTCTCTAAAAGAAAATTAAAAAAAAAAACAAAACAACCCACATATTTTAACAAAAACAAACAAACAAAAAAACTTGGGATTCCTGTTACTTGAAACAGGAACAGACACCAAAAGTTAGGCTTGTCTTTTCCTGCCCCAATAATTTGGACTTCATACATTTTCTAGTTATTGCTACTGTTCTTTTATTTGTTTTTACTCTTCATTCTCTAATCCAGCTGTTGACCCTTGAGGGGTTGTGTTTCCAAATCTCTTTATCCCCCTCACAACTTTTATTAAAAAAGCAACTAGCTGTATGGGGTGGGGTTATTGTTTAATATTATATTTCAAAGAAATGTGTCATTTTGCTTTTTAATAACAATTTTATTTCCCTCCCCACTCCAGAGTTAAACTGAAAGAAGAGCAAAGACCTCTAAAAAGTCATTTGGAAGCATCTCTAAATATGTATAATTGTGTGTAAGCTCCTAAAGAAAAATTGACCCAAATGAAACTACTTTGAATAACAGACAGGTTTATAACTGAGATAGGTTTATGTCAGTGTCATCAATTCCATCCATAAGCAGAGGAGTCTCCCTTTGAATTGAAGGGTGCTGCTAGGATGGCCTACCAATTTCATTTCACTATAGAAGGCCATCTGGAAAATGAACCGACTCCCCTTGGAGATGGAGCTTCAACCCTGAATTCCGCAGAAGAGTCTCCATTCTCAGAAAGTCAAAAAGGGAAACACAAGGACACGGAATGTTCTACAGAGCAGCAGTCTTCCTTACTGGCCTTGGGGTAACTGTGAGGACCGAAGTCAGCGGAAAGTGCAGTTCCCTCTCAAGGCACACAGAACTCACTCAATGCAGCTAACAGGTCAGGGAACTTGGAACCTCATGAAAAACAGCCTTGCTTGAGACTTGCCGAAGAGCATAGAAAATAAAGTCATAGAAACATTCCCAGCTCTCCAGTACATTAATGTTTCAGTAGTGAAAACCGTCTTATTGAAAGAGAACTTCCCTGAAGAAAACACAGTGTCAGAAACCTTTTCTTCTCACTCTGATCTGATTACCGGTGTTTATGGAGGAGGCTTGAAAATCTGGGAATGTACCTTTGACTTCCTGGCTTATTTCACAAAGTCCCACATGAAATTTGCTGGGGAAGAAGTGTTGGATCTTGGCAGTGGATCAGGGTTGCTGGGTATAATTGCACTCAAGGGAGGGGCCACAGAAGTTCATTTTCAAGATTATGTAAGTATGGTGATTGACGAAGCAGCCTTATCTAATGTGGTGGCCAACTCCACTTTGGAAGATGAAGAAGATGATGGCAACAAGCCACCTGTGAAAAGGTGCAGGAAATCAAAAATAGCACAAGAACTAGGTCAGTGCCGATCTTTTCCTGGGTTGTGGTCTGAGTGTTGTAAACCTGTGCTAACTGTGAAAAACTCTGAAAAATATGATCTCATTCTCATGTCAGAAACCATTTAACAACCCGGATTATTATGGTACTTTGCACCAAACATTCCTTCCATCGTTAAGTAAAATTGGGCGGGTGCTTTTGGCCAGCAAAGCACATTATTTTGGTGTAGGTAGAGGTATTCATCTGTTTCCGAAGTTTGTCGAAGAAAGGATTGTATTTGAGACTAGAACACTTGAAATACTTGATGAAGGACTAAAATGATTCCTAATGGAAATGACTTTTAAGCGCCCTAGTTAATGTCCACAGAGCATCCTAAGTGAAATAAATACAATAACTAAAAACTTGTTTTGAATGTTTAATTTCTGCATTATAATTAATATCTCCATTTTATAGACAAAGAAATTGAGACTCAAGGAAGTAATTGGATCCCCATCACATTTCTCACCTTGAACCAGATTCTGAACTGAGGTCTATCTAAAAGCTTTTCTCAGGAAAGATAAAAAATGGCAGCAGAGTAAGTGGATGCTGCACGGACATGCTCCCAGGAACAAACTGGTATTACAACTAAAATACAGAAAAACTTCCTGAACAATCAATGGAAACTTGCAGGAGAGAGCCCTGATACCCGAGGACGAAAGTGGAGATTACATAGGAGAAGTGGAGCGTGAAAGGGCTGGCCAGGTACCCACAGACAGCAACTGAAGTCCCGGAGAGATATCTCAGCTGTGGGGGGTTGCCACTGAGAACTCTGGGATCTAATCCCCAAGCTGGGCCCCCCAGCAGAGAGCACCAAAACTGAGGAGGGTACCCACATCACATCTGACTGTGAAAAGCAGTGGGGTGCTGTCTGCCAGGGAGTAACAGCTGAAAATTCAGAAACCCCTTAAAGGGCCAATGCACAAAATTTCTTGTGAAGCTACCCATCTTATGCTCCAGCAGAGGGAGAGTGAAGTGGACTGGAGCTATGAGGGCAGAAGCCAGGACTGGGGACTCAGGGGATAGAGCTCAGAAGGCAAACACCCCAAGTTTCCTGGGCTGAGTCTTTCATTGATGCAGTGGAGGACATCTTTCCCACATAGACATTTGCCTGCCTGGGGGGAAGACAGTTGACACACCTTATTGGAAAACATCTTGCCCTAAGGCCACTTAAAAGATTAAAAAACAATTAGCCTCCAGGCTGAAGCAACTGCCCCAACAATTAGCCTCCAGGCAGAAGCAACGGGCCCCACCTGTTGAATAAAACTCTCACCACACCTGAGGGACAACTGCGTGGGGGGTGGGGGGCAATTCAAGTGGGAATGTTATCAGTCTGTAGGCCCAAGTGGTCTCTGATCTAATTAGTCAGAAACAGCCTTTAACACTGTCCTGCACTAGTGATTCAGAGGCGTAGAGGATCTACCTAATACAGAGGCACAAACCCAAACAGACAGCCAAAATGAGGAGACAAAGAAACAACCCCCAATGAAAGAACTAGAGAATTCTCTAGGAGAAGAGATAAATGAAGCAGAGATAAGAAATTTATCTGA